TTTTTTGCGACGATATCAATAAAAGACAATTTAATGTCTATGCCAGTGTAGACCGCGAAAATATATTATTTATTCAAAATATATTCAGTAATTTTGAAAATGACACGGACGTACTCGACCTGTTATTATGTGTATAAAGAACGTATAAGAAACAATATAAAATGTTCATTCATCCCTTACTTGTGATGTAAATCATCAGATGGACCTCATTTAATCAGACGACGTCCTGAATATCCCAGCTGAAATTTGTCATTGTTCTTCGTGTCCAGGGCAAACAATGAACCTTGCATCTCAGCTAGTGTTGCTAAGATAATTTAATCTGTAATCCTAAGATGATGGATTAAGCGTGTGTATAATACAGTATTTGGGTCGTATACCTAATAAAAAACGCCAACTTGGTAAAATGAGCTTGAATTATAACATTACAAAGGTTGGTGGTTGATGGATGAACTAGCTTGATGACGTATAATGGCGGTTTCTATTGTAGGCAACATCGAAATTTGGGTTTGTGCTACGACATTGCTGGTCACTTATGAACAGATTATTAGTTATTGCTTGTCATTCTAGAAATTCAAATGTTTCTTACAGTGATCTCTTAAAACCAGGCTTTACAACGTACTCCAAGAAAACTAAATCCAAGATCCATTTTAACCCTTTTCAGATTTATTTGGATTTTCAGTCCAGATATTGCATAAACCTGTTGTCGTTAAGCACTGAGAAGTTTAAATAATTAACTTTAGTTTCACCTGTTATAAATTAGTTAATATAATTAATCCTTTCGAGCTGTGTTAAAATTAACATTTCGGTCTGCATCAACCCCCGAGTCCAGGGCGAGAACGGGAATTTTCTGAGTTAAAGAACGTTTCATTAAAAAAAATATATAATTATATGTTCAAAATGAATGAGATATTAAATTATGAGTCTATGGAGCTATTTTTTCGATTTCCCTATACTAAGAACTATATTTTACCTGTTGTTTTGTAAAGGAATGGAACTTGGTCATTATATTTTAAGCGAAAAACGTGAGTTGAATATATTTCAAAAATGGATGCACTACGGATAATTTGAACCTGTCAGAGATGAACTAGCGAGTAGCTATACGAAATTCCATCTTCAGGGCTTCAGACCTATAAGTGGAATCAACACGACCCTACAAAACGTTCTTTTTTCCACGTACAATTCCACGTGACATTACGACAAGTTTTATGGAATTTAAAACCGCACAAGAATTTGCCATATTAAGACGAATTGTTAGAAGTCAGGACTGAAGTGTTCGCTACTGTTACGTCATGTTTAATTACAAAATATCTGATCGAAGGGGGAACTGGATTAGATACAATACTAGTCAGTGAAGAAATTTCCCTATCTCAATGGATATGGAATGATAACCAATGTAAATCTATTGCTAACTGGATATGGAATGATAACCAATGTAAATATATTGCTAACACACAGACTATAGTAATTTAATTGACAGTGGTCTGCGTGCTGTTAATATAATTTTTTTTCCTGAATTATAAATGGGAACCAATTAAAATACATCATCAAAGAAATATATGCAGAACGCCTTACAGTGGCAATATACAAAATTTAAATTATGTACTATTGAATAATAGTCATGCCGCATTAACATTTGAACTGTTATTTCGATCGTAAACACACATTGCACGCACTGCGCATGTCTGCAGTTCACTGCGCCACTGCGGACAAACTCGTCACTATGCCATGACGCGTTCTCAGGCTGCTGATGGAGGAATATATGGACCAGGCATTTGCGGACCGCCGACAAGGGACGACCTTCCAGTTTGTCGGTCGGGAGGTGGATTGTGAGCATGGGGTAGAAATAACTCAGGATCGCCACGTTAGTGGCCCTAAATTTTAGTTTTCTGCTACCAAAGAACTTATTTAATAGTAACTCATCTCTGAAAGTTTGTGACGACGATGAGATGTTGAAGTAAACTGTTTTCTGGATATTATCCATCGACCGAGACTAAATAAAATCAATAAAAACCACGACGTTTCGGAGATGGGAGTCTGTCTCCGTCTTCAGGTAAAACCTACTCTGTTGGGCCCCAACATATAGATCTTATCCCTATCTCCGGAGATGTGGGCCAACAGAGTACGTTTTACCTGAAGACGGAGATAGACTCCTATCTCCGAAACGTCGTGGTTTTTATATAATAGTAAGTTTGGCACTAAAGGCAGAAGTTTAATAAAAGATGTAATGAATTACGTAAACAGGTATCTCTTTAGGAGGGAAAACTACGTAAGTGTAATTAATTTTACTTTTAGATAAGTTTCAAAAAGATTAATTTAAAAAAATGTTTTATATTTCTGTTAAATACTTTTCAGTCGATTTTTGCTGTTGTAATTCAATATATAACTTCGGTTTCCTGAGTGAGAACCGCGTCGAATGTTTGGTGTATATCGACGTTTCGGACAACACTCCAGTTGCTGTTTTCAGGGTGTGTATGATGTGAGTTAGCCAACCGAGAATCCAACTAAGGACTTAGATTTCGGCAAATGGACGACATCTTCCCTGTTTAGGTTTCATCCTTGCTACCTAAGAAATCAATGCTAATTAAAAGCTAAGATCTGAAGGCATGGTTCTTATATGAGGTGTCGTTCAGGAGAGACAGATGATCTCAGTTGACACTCTGACGCACCAGTAATTAGAAGCCTTGGTAATCGTCATATGAAGGATTTCGGGGTAATTAATCAGGATTCACTGTCTTAAGGACATCACGCAGGAATAAAAACGTGATCTTCCTGCCTTCTCCCAGGTTCAGGCGTGCATCGATCATCCGGTAGCAAGAAAGTTCGAAAACTCACATCGAAGCAGCGTAGGACATCGATGGTGGCCCGGAAACCTTCGAAAGTCTCTGGTTTTACTCAGTCGCTCTGAGAGGGGAGAAACTTTTTCCTCAGTTGCAAAGCAAATTCCGAGCTAAAATTCAAAAGGGGTCATCCGCCTCCCCCAAAACACGGAGGACTTTAGCCGGAGTGATCTCCCTTACTCCCAATTCGAAGCAAAGGCAATCCGCCAAAGCGATCACACAATTTCCGGTTTTATACACCAGAGAGTCATCAAAGCAAACTCGTTCTCGCGAAAAATAAGTTGCCTGATTGGTAATCCCCCCCCCCAAATATCAATAGCCCCCAGACTGAAAAATGTTCCAGATGGAAAACAAAAACGTAGAGAGAAAGGTATTTTCCGTGACCTTCCACGTTTCATTAAAATCTTTATCCTGTTTGTGTACAATACTCGCGATCTCTCTTAACACACAGTCAGTGATTGTTATGTTTCTAATCAAGTCAGAATCCTCTAGGGTGGCTGACAGCCGGCCAGCTTTCAAGAGATTCTCTTCCTTTCATGGAAACCGAAAGTTCATTGCCGTGTTCACACGACCTCGCCATTGGTCCCTACATAGACCCAATTAAATCAAGTATAACGGCGTTTCTTTAACATTCACTTTAATATTATCCTCCCAGACAGTGAATTTCATCGAAATGGCTTGACGTACCCTAAGTATTCGCCCCATTTTCGAACTAATTGTTACATTTGGTGATAAGATATCCTCATTGTCCCAGAGGCGTAGAAATACGAGTAGAAATTTGCAACGGGCAACCAATGGAAGAATCCACAGGTCAAATATCTCAACTGCGCGTATGGACGCAGAGACTAGAGGAAAAAAAAAATTCTGCCCCCGTCGGGGATCGAACCCCGGTCATCCAGTCCGTAGTCAATCACTGACTGAACTACCCGGCTTATAACCGAATATTAAAATATTTTTAAATATTATGACATCAAATGGGAACTTCATTAGTTTGTTGCAAGTTACGCAAGTTTTGTCAAATTTCATTCGGTACATTACTTTAAATATCTGGCACGAAGGGCGAGTTTCACGCACCAAAGGATGGTAAGATTTCCTTAAACGTCGGTTCGCACAATCCTCTTCTCTGAAGTTTCAGTCCGACTCCGCGTTGCCCAGCGATGACAGGTCGTGGGATCATGAGACCCCGAACAGACGATTAGGGGTGGGGGGTGGGGGGTCAGATCAGCAGCGCCACTGCGAATTGCCGTAATTACACTTATACGCAAAGAGGCCAAAGTTCATCAACGTCTGTAAAGCCATACATAATAATTACAATTATTTTGAATATTTTAAGAAATCCTTGGTCGTAGCGGTGGGATAATTTCATTATTCCTGTCAAAGTCCTAAAGCTCCAATTGTTTCAGCGAGGTAGGCGTAATGTTTAATTTAGTTTTCGAAAGTAGGTTATTTTATCGCAACTCATGACTCAGCCCGGATAACAATCAAGCCTCAACGTTGCGCCTAAGTACTCGGTTTAGGGACTGGCGGCTATTCTGATTAAGTTCTTTTGGAAAAAAAAATGGAATTTCCCCAAAAGTATTCCGCGAAAGATTTATCTCAATGTCTTTCCAATATAAACTACGAAATTGAAGAGTCATTAAATGTAAATGAAGAACAAAGCATTAGAGCCAATGTCAGGCAACAATAGTCATCGTATTAACAAACTAGCATAGTTTATTTTGGTACAGTACTTTGCCATTTTAGGCCGCATCGTTGGTTACATTGTACAAATTTCCGTTAACATTTAAAATTATAGCCAACTGTTACGACATCACACAGCAAAAAAACTCTCAAACAATACGGATGGTTTGGGAGGTATTCGTGTTAATTTAGTTTCCCCAAACTGCAGTCGCTTATAATTCTCCGCCCTACATTTCCCAAACCCTTCAGCACTGCGACGCATTTCCCCTCTTGACATGACATGACATGACATGTCCCGCCACTGTGACGTCACATCATCGCCCTACATCAGTAGCTACTAGTTTTGTAACCGGCTGATATTGGTAGTGGTGGTAGGGCAGGCGCCTGCAGAGACGCCTTGTGTCGAAAGTAGGAAGTTTCAGTCA